ATACTTTGAAACTGATCTTTGAAGACTCCAAATGTGTCTGATTTTTCTCTAAGAAAGTTCACTCAAGTAAACCCTGAAAAGTCATTATAACCACATAGACACACCTCTTTCCATCTAAGCTTTCTACCTGCATTGGTCCCATTAAATCAATGTGAATAAGTTCTAGAACTTTGGAAGTAGACTATTGTTTTAACGTTGAGTATGATATCTTAGTTTGCTTCATAATCTCACATTCACCACAGACTTCTCTTTCCTCAACCTTGAGTTCTGCCATTCCTATAATGGCTCCTCCAGATATTATTTCCTTCATTCTTTTGAGATGAATGTATCTAAGCTTCTGGTGTCATGGCTTCACCTCATCCTCCTTGATTGTTAAATAAGAGTAATAGTAAGAAGTTGTTTAAGGTTCCCACATATAACAATTATCTTTAGATCTTGTACCTTTCATCAGAATAACATTTTTATCATCTTTGACTAAACATTCTGACTTTGAGAAATTTACCAACAACCCATAGTCACACAACTGACTAGTGCTGATAAGGTTAGTAGTTAGTCCTTCTACAATAAGAACATCTTCTAGAGTGGGAGAGCCATCACACAACAATTTTCCAACTCCTTTAATTTTACCTTTGAATCCATCACCAATTCTGACAGATCCTGTGGGCTGAGATGTGATATTTACCAACAATTTCTGAATCCCTGTCATATGTCTAGAGCATCCAATGTCAAAGTACAAGTATTCCCTAGTTGAAGATCTCAATAAAGAATGAGCTATAAGGTTGACCTCCATATCTTTAGAACTCCTCTTTTTACTTACTTGATTAGCCTTAGAATGAGCTGAAGTTTTTTGAACTCCATACAATTTGTAACAGAAAGGCTTCATATGATCATGCTCACCATAATAATAACATTTCCAATATAAGGATTGGAATTTAGTTGAAGTTACATCATGTCTTCCAGGATGTTGTGACTTATGGGCGGGCATGTTGATCATTCTTTTCTTTTTAGAAGGAACGAACTTTTCTACAAATCTTTTCTTTTGTTGATTATCAAATTAATGATTAACACTTGTATCTTAAGTCTCTTTAATCATATCATCTCCATTTTTCATTCTTCTCAAAGAATCTGTCATGTTATTTAGTTTGAATTTAAGAGAGTTACCTTATTTTGTAGATGAGAAACATTGCATAGAAGTTCCTTCTTCTCATTCTCCAATTCAGCTATGATCCTTTTCAGATCTTCTATTATTTTAAGGATTTATTCACACTTGTCACAAGTTTCCTTTTATGGAACATCCATATATTTATATAGATCATTTTAATCACAAAATTCTACCTCATCTTCCCATCTTCCAGCAAGAGCAGTCACAAACTTGATAGTCTCGGAGTTAGGATCATCTTTTGACTCATCATTATCATACCAAGATGCAAAAATTCCCTTTTTCTGTTTCTTGAGATAGGTTGGACATTCTGGTCTAATGTGACCAAATCCTTCACACTCAAAATATTGAATCTCATTGCTTTGACTGGACTTCTCTTCAGTTCTGGTATTTTTCTGAAAATCATCATCATCACTGATGTCAGATGAGATGTTCCTGATATTTGGTCTTCCACTTCTGTCCATTCTTTTTAGAATTCTATAGAAATGTTTTCCAAGTAATACAATGGTATTTGACAACCCTTCCTCAGTGTCCAAATCTAACTGACTCTCTTTACCTTCAAAATTGGATACAAAAGCTATGCTTTTGTCTTCTTATCAGAATTGTCAGCATATTTAAAAGTTTGAAGTGACCCAACAAGTTCATCAACCTTCATGTTGATGATGTCATGAGCTTTTTCAATGATTGTCACCTTCATGTCAAATATCTTAGGTAGGAACCTGAGAATATTTCTAACAAACTTTTCTTCTAGCATCTTCTCTCCTAAGGCACTATATGCATTTTCTATTTCAAGAAAATTCATGTGAAAGTCTTGAATTGTTTCATCATTCATCTTTAGGTTCTCAAATCTGGTAGTGAGAAGTTAAAGTCTTTACATCTTCACTTTAGATGTACCTTCATGAGTTGTCTTGAGGATTTCCCAAGCATCTTTAGCTACAGAACAAGAATTTATTAACTTGAAAACATTCTTGTCCACTTCATTGAATAGAGCATTCAAGACTTTGAAATTTCTAAGAGCTAATTCATCTTCCTCCTTAGACCAATCTTCTTCTGCCTTCAAGGACTCATTCACATTTCTCTCCTTTATAACAGGATGATTTCATCCTTTCAACACAGTCTTCAAAGATTTGTTGTCCATGGATTTCAAAAAAGTTATCATTCTAATCTTCCAATAGTCATAATTTTCACCATCTAATAGAGATTGTCTGTTATTGTATCCTCATTCCTTATCCATAGTACCAGAAATTATTTTCCCTGGAGCTCACCCAAATACAGAACAAGGTGTCTGCTCTGATGCCAATTTAAATTCTGAAACTATAAAAATAGATGTCAAGACTGATGTCCCAACACCAAAACACAATGCCGAGACAGATGTTATGACATCATTTGCTGACAAAAAATACTTTTACCAAAACAATTATGCAGAAGTAAATTGCAAAAGGTAAAAGAGACAATAAATTGTTTACTCAGTTTGGTGCAACTCACTTACTCTGGAAACATCCAAGCTAGGAAGGAAATTCATTATGATATTATTAGTTCAAAGTTAAACAACCCTAGTTTAAAATTTATCACATATCACTATATTGTGCAACTTCTACCTAGAAACCTTCTAGATATGAGATCTCCCTCTCACTTCCCACAGTCACCTCAGTGACAATAACAAAAACGGAAGAACACATTTCCAATTACAATACTCAGTTTAGCTTAAAAGCTTTTAATTGAGAACAATAACTTGACACACAATTAACTTTTTGCTTAAATCTCATGAGTGATGGGCAAGTAACAATGAACAATAAATATACCTCAATGTATCAAAAGAGACATGAGTGACACAGAAAAATAAACAAAGCACCTAAAGTACTCTCAAAACCCTAAACCCTTACATTATACGCCCACAAATTTTTGATGTGAATGCTTGCTTATTTTAGGTTTAGCAAGTATATATATATATATATATATATATATATATATATATATATATATATATATATATATATATATATATATATATATATATATATATATATATATATATATATATATATATATATATATATATATATATATATATATATATATATATACTCTTTCAGTATGGACTTGAATTTCTTCAATCAAATTCAATCTTTTAATTTTAAATTAGTTGCAAGATCTTCTACAAAAATAGGAACAAATCTTCAAAGTTTCTTAAAAAGTCCCCAATATCTTTTTTATGAAACCAAATCAAATTTGTATTGTTCCTAACAAAATCTTCTTGACCTGCAAAAGTCAGTGAGATATATCCAAGAAGATCTCACAAAATCAAATCAAATCTGTCAAGAAAGATAACAGTAGCACCTGTACAGTTGGCCAAGATGTCAAGACATCTGACTCAACATCTGTCTGATACTCACGACAGCAGAACATATCATGACAGTTGGTCAAGATGTCATGACATCTTGCTCAACATCAACTATGAATCATGTTTAGCAAAATTTATGTCTATCATAAAATTATGGATCTAACAAACGGTATTTGTGTCACATAAAACCTTTGAGACTCTCATTCATTTCAATCACTCAACTTTAATTCAATAGTTTACATTCCCACATTTCATAAATGAGTGAGGTACGGTCTGACTTAAACCTAATACGAGTGAGTGGTGTGGTCAATAGATAACTAAAAGCCCAACCTTAAATGACATATGTTGCTAACTTTAAACTCCTTCGGTGTCAATGTATTTGACTTGTATTATTTTCCTTTGGAGTATCTTCTCTCAAACAACAAAATTATTCCAAATATATATTACCTTTTCCATTTGTATAGTCTTTTTCGCTGTATTTTATCTCTTATACATATAATTTCATGTGATTGATCAAAGCACGGGGTGATTGTAAGTAATTCAAAAGTTAAGTATCGCAGTTCATGTGTTAAAAGTAAATTATTTACATGTAACATGGTCACTGTGTTTGCATATAAATTCAACCATTTTGAATTCTATAATTTAAATACTTAAAAAACGCAATTCAAATTATAGAATTTATCAACATTTTTGTCAAAACAAAGAGTTTTTAAAATTTTGTAAAGATGACAATATAACCAAACATTCAAATAGTCTGATAAATCAATTTGTGGGCTTGAGTTGTTCTAACAGAAGGAGACATTCAGTAGGTCATGTGAGTTGATGAAAAGAAGTATGTAATTTGATTTTTCAAAAAAAAAAAAAAGAAGTTGGTGATGTGAGTGTCCGAAACATCAATAATAGATGAACGAAAATGACTGTTCAATTGCTACCCATCTTGTTTTAGAATTTTTTTAATGCAAACTCATTGTAACTAGAGCACCTCATATGCTAATTGTTTATTTCATTGCTTAAACATAAGCAACCTTGCTTCTTCTTTTTTATGTATTGAACTTTGATTGATTACAATGCCATGGTTGGTTGCTTAAAATAAAGCAATGTACTTTAGTTAAGTAACATGGAGAAAAAGTTTTTTTAGTATTAAAAAATAGTTTTGCATGTTCAATGTAGAACAAAAGTAGTTGACACATTTGAGTTGCTTTAGGATCAATTATGAGTCCAACTAAAACAAAACTAAGCAACATGGCAAATTTAACAACCAGCTCAGCTAAGAAAGGAGAGAAATGCTTCATAATCATATTTATTTTTTATGGAATAATCAATTAGAGGGAAAGGAAAAGTATATCAGAGCCTGCACATTATATTATTGAATCATTATTATAGGTTGAGAATACAAATAAGTATAATGAATGAACTACCAACTCCCTAAGAACAAAAATTCATCATCCCATGTATGAGAGCAATATAATGGCAGCTGCTATGGATGCCTTGTTAATACCTCTAAGAACTTCCGTAACCGTTAGGGCGAGATTTCTGCCATTTCCATGCAACTTGTATGCTCTTTTCAAGGTCAGTGTGTTGCGCTGTCCAATTCAGTTCGAGCCTGATCTTGGTAGGGTCGCTGTACACCTCGGCATAATCGCCGGGCCGTCTCGGAAGGAAATCTACTTTGATGTCGACGCCTGTAGCCTTTTTACAAGCACTCACAAACTCCTTAACTGACCTGCCTTTTCCAGTGCCAACATTGTAGATCCCAACTTTACGGGGGGTTGCCCTTTGAAGAGCTTTGACGTGAGCATCAACAAGATCGGTTACATCAATATAATCTCGAATGCATGTACCGTCGGGTGTTTTATAATCTGTTCCTGTAACCTGCAAGGTGGCAACCGATACAATAAGTGCAGGTTTGTTTTATATCATGGCGTAAAAGTCTGGCGAGAATACAAAAACTAACGTAAAAAGGACAATATAAACATACCTTCAAGCCAGGTGTGATACCGCGAGCTGCATCAAAGCATGCACCTGAAATTCGACCATGTTCTCGAAGTTCGGGTCTAGGGGCCTCGCCTAATCTCCCTTCAGGGTCTGATCCAATCACATTGAAGTATCTGGGTGTGTCACATAGAAAGTTGTCAACAAATACAACCATAATGATTCTAAATAATAAAGTTCAAATTAACATTTTTTTTTTGTTTAGATCTATTTTCCAAAACCACAGAAAAAAAAAAGGAAAACAAAAATCATAATGTATTTGACTTGAACTATGGCACGCCTCTTGCAAGGTTCCTTTATATGTAAATATATGTTCAGAATCATTAAACAAAGAGCATATCGAAAAAGACTTGAAAAGCTGTATAAAACACGGGTAAACCCTGAAGTGTTAATTTAAAATACAAACCTTAGAATCATTACTGCCATCTTGGAATTTTTAGAAAAATCAAGAATGATATCTTCTGCCATCTTCTTGGCTTTTCCATATGGATTGATCGGTTTCTGAAATTCAAGTATATTGATTTAACACTAAACCCCGATGATAATTAAAGCCATTGCAAAGTGCAACAAAAAACAAAGAGTTCTCCACTAAACCCGATAACTCAAACCACAATTGGATTTTCGCACCTGTTCTGTTACTTCTGTAATGGGCATCTTATCAGGTTCTCCATATGTTGCACATGTACTTGAATATATGAATGTCTTCACATTATATTTAGCCATAGCCTCCAACACCACCAAGGTATTTGACGTAATATTGTGATAATACCTGACAAACAAGTTATAGAACATAAATAAAGTAGAACTGAAATGGTTCAAGTTTAATTTTTTTAGCACGCAAATGCAACTTTTTTCAATTCGGGAACATTTGAGTTCAGATTTTGCAGAGGACAATCCTAAACCAGGCTCCGGAACTCCGGATTACTAGGGGCCCATTCCCTTGAAAACCGGAGGGTTAAGACAAATGAAATTAATATCCGGAAAATGAAAGCTACAAGTACTCACTTAAGAGGGTAAAGTGTGCTTTCTCCCACATATGCAACAGCTGCAAAGTGCATCACGGCATCAAACTTATTCTCTGAAAATATTTTATCAACCTAATAACCACCAGTCAAGTAGACAATTCTTTTGGAAAATTCACTAATAAATACACTTCAATAGAAGTAAAATTTCAACACTAAATTATTTTATGTAACAAGGATACAGATTTCGCGTCTCCCAAGTCAGCATGTATAAACTGAAGCCTTCCAGGTTCTGGAAATAACCTTTGAAGAACCCTGACGGCGCCCAAATTTCCACGTGAAAGATTATCCTGAAAGAGAAAAAAAATTTAGCACAGGTTGGTCATTGCACTTACATTTGTTTTTTCTAAAAAGTTTCCTATATTATTAGAAGACATACCACAATGGTGACTCGATAAGAATCCGTCAGGAGTCGTAAGGTAGCATGTGAACCGATATAGCCTGCACCTCCTGTCACTAAAACATGGGTCACCCCAGGTTCATGGATAGAAAACTGTACCAAAAGGAGGAGTAGAATTTCAATCAATAAATTGAATAAAATGATAAAATAGCTGTAAGAACTCATGGTTGACCATGCATGGTATTCATTTATGTCGATTTGATGGATTACCAGACTGGGAGAAGTGAAGGACGGAGATTTCTTGATCACCAAAATGCACAATGTGGTTAATGCTGCAACAAGACAAACCTTCCCGATAAAATTCCCTTTCCGTTTTGGATCCACATAATCCATACCTAAAATACAGAAACATAAATAACAACAATTATATCTTAAACTGTTCATTATGCAATATACTAGCATACAAATATACGAGTATTAGAAAACACAGCATTTCAATTGTCATTATGAAATCGATTAATGTTTTAAGCACGTCAAGATGCATACAGGTTGGCAGAATAACTTTACCTCCTAATGACATGGATCTAGCTGCCCTTGGCTGACTTCTGGCCCTAGAAAAATTTAGCATTTGCGAAATCAACACAGTTTTTTACCCCAATATCAATTATCACATCAAGGTCCACTCCCGCTCTGAGGAGGATCTTGAGTGATATGCTGCAACCAAATAACAAACCATGTAAGTTTTCTTTCTTTCTTTTCTCTGATGACTTAATGAAGGGTAAAAAGTAAAGTTTTTCTTTTCATCCCAAAAGTTGTATTGGTGAAGTGGGAAAGAAAAGGCATGGAGTAAACAATGAAAATTGAAAAACAATACCAAAAGTTCAGATACTAATGACCATAAAATCTCTGTAAAGCAAAACAAAACAGAACCCTGCCAATTCACCAAAAAAATTCAAGAACCACAAAGCTGGTAAGAGAAAACGTGTACATGAATGAAAGATCCAAAACAACCTCAGAAGAAAAAAAATCATGAGAGATTGAAAGTAAATAAAAAAGCTATGATAACCCTCTGTACATTTCACAACAACAACACTGTAAATAACAACAATAACATGCACATAACATGTTTGTCAGAATGCCTCAGACAGAAAAACAGAGGAAAAAACAAACTACAGTAGACCAACTTCACAATCTCTTTTCAAATTTTCAAAAACAAAAATCTGGGAAAGTAATCATTACCTATGAGAAAACAGTTTGAAAATTTCAAATCAAACCAATATCAGGATCCAATCAACACAAAACTTCAACTATTGACCAATTCAATTTCAGAAGAAAAAAAAACTCTTTTTTTGTGTTTACCAGCATAATGTTTTAGACCAATTCAACTTCATAATAAACAGACAAAAACAAAAAACCCTTCATTGATATCATCAAATTATGCTTTGCAGCATCATCATCAACAACAAACAATCAATCCAAAACCTTACAAAACCAACCAACAAAATCAAAGAGCAACTCATAATACAAAACCCAGAAACTCAACAACACCAAAACAGAAAAAAAGTTGAATTAATTATTAAACACCTTTTTACAACTGTCCAAAACACAGAACAAAAAAGGAATAGTAAACGAAATACATAAAATAAATAAATAAAAAACACTTTTTTACAGAACAAAATCACGTTACAAAGTTGCCCACAAGATCAAACGAGAAAAAGAGTATAACTTAAACCATTAGAAGGTGAAAGAGATAAAAAAGAAAAAGTGTGAGAGGGTAAAGAAAGTACCAGAAATAGTGAGAGGAGGTAAAGTAGTAGTAGAATTGAAATTTTGAGAGAATGGAAGAAGAAAGTGAAGAGAGAGGGAGAAGAAGGGGGTTCTAATAGGGTGCAAAAGGTAACACTTTCGTAGACCTGACTTTTTTTTTTTTTAATTTTATTTTATTCTTTTATTTTATTTATATTTTGGAAGAATAAATTAATAATATTAAAAATATAATAAATATATTTAAGATCTTTACAGAATAATTAAAAAGTCTTCCTTAGTCAAAAGTGAATAGGATGCCTAGGGCGTAAAAATGAGAGAGGAAATCTTTAGTTTAATTAGGTGTACCATTTTGTTTAATTAGTTAGGTACCATTGCTATTACCCCTTAATTGGGGTTATTTAGCGAGTATGACTTTTTAAATGGCTAAAAACATTCTTCGTTTATGGTGATCTAAGAATGATACAAAATTTTATCACTCAACTTTTAAAGGGAGAAATTTATATACATCACTGTAGTAAGTAACCATCCAAAAAATTCGTCGGTTAGAAGAAATATCTACAAGTTTTGTTTTTGATGGGGAAAATATCTAGGTAAAAGGAACATGATCGGCCCCACAAAAAAATCGATGGGTCCCACTGTGCTAATCGAGTGACATGTCTGGCATGGAAATTTGGTTGATCGACAAACAACAGTACAACAAATGGAAGCATATTATTGGATATTCATGAATGTTGTTTTCAAACCAAATTCTGTATCCTTTTAATCACGCACTTCGATGCCTCAATTCAATTCATTTGCCTCCGACAGAGACACACTCACAGTTTCTTTCAAATTATTATAGTTACTCAATAGTACTATACTATACATATAAGTGTGGTTTAAAATTCTTGTAGTACTTAAATGGAAATATAAGTGAAACAATTTAACAAAATAGTCCTCTCGTTATTTGAAAATTTTGGAATTGTGAAACACATGTAAGTTTGTAACGTTTATACATAGTTATTTAATATTTAAAGAATAAAATGATATATACATGGATAATTTTATATTATCAATCAATTATAATTATATTGTGTTAAATTAACTGTTATTTTTAAATAAATTTTATAATATGATTTAGTAGTGAATTTTTATAAGATAATATTAGAACATTCAATTGAGTAGAATTGTCAAAATAAATTATCCGACCTTAAACATATTAGTTCTAACGGGCCTGGGTTTTTTAGAGCTGACTAAAAAAATCCTATTATAATATGGACCACAAAACAACTACCTGAACTCGGCCGTAGATGGATTTCGGACTACCCAATTCTAAATAAGTTTTTTTTAATAGAAAATTAAAATAAAATATCCATAATATTTATTATAAATAAAATTAAAAATTATATTATTTTAAACATAATACATTTTTAATTACTATATTATCTTTTATAAATATTATAATGTGTTTTTAAATATAATATATGTATAAATTATAGAAAATAGTACTCAAATATTTAACATAAGAGAAACTAATAGAATACGAAGAAAAAATATTGATTATATTAATGTATAATATTTAAAAGATAAATATTTATAGTTATGCAGGCCTAATAGACTACCCACGACCTATGCGGACTAGCAACTAATGGGTAGCGGGCTTTTTAGGGCCGGATTAAAAAAGCCCTTAAAAATATGGACTTTAATTTGAACGCACAAGCCCTACGATTTCTCGAGTCGGGCGGACCGGCCCATATGGGCTAGCCCATTTTGAAAGCTCTAAATGGAGGTTTTTGTGCTTGTGGATAAGATAGAGTGGGAAAAATAAGAAAGAGAGTAATTGAGGGTGAGAAGAGAAATTTTTATTAGTTTTCACATTACAATATTGAAACTATTTATATAAGCTAAACAAAATAATTGAGATTCAAAACAACTTAAAAATAAACTAAAAAACTCAAAACACGAATTTGTAACCGGTTACGCAAAACTCAGTAACTGGTTACGTCTGCGACAAACACTAAAAGTATAACTGAATTAGTCTGTTGTAACTGGTTATGTCAAAACCTGTTATCGGTTACAATCACAATTGTTATATCTCAATTTCCCCCCCTAAGATCCCTCTATCATCACATATCAACCCAATCATGTCAAGATCATACACTAGGGGTTGATTCTTCTCCATATCTCTAGGTTGCTCATGAGGGACCATCAAGCACTTTGATTTGTATATTGTGGTCATATATGTCTTGTGTTAATTAACTTTTAACTAACAAATATAATTAATATTTGCTCTATAAATGATGATACTATAGGTGAGGGCACATCACATTTTATTAAGTTGATTCATAGGTTCATGAGTTTATTTTCATGCCTTCTTCAACAAAGCTTCATTGAAATTCAAGCTTCATCGTTGAGAGTGCTTTAAAATAATGTCATGACAAGGTCTACTATGATTCATTATGCTTCAATTGCCAAAAGAAATCAAAGGATGCAAGAATTGATTAAAGAAGTTTGCCCTGATTTGACAAGTTCTTGATTCCTTGTTCACAAGTGCATAACTCCCTCAATTCTCAAAATTTGGAAGTGGTTATTGTTACTATAGGTTTTTATTATCATCAACAACTTCTCTTCACATAGAAAAAGCATTTGTACAAGAAAGATTGTCAAAAGTTGAAAGGGGTTTCCAAGCCATTTTGATGCTTTAGGAGTTAGGGTTTTGGACTTCTAAGGGATATATCTTGTCAATTTTTTGATGTTTTTGAGTGATTCTAAATATATACTTCTCTTTAAAGGGTTATAAAAAAATAAATTCAAAAGTTTCAAGCAAATTTTGTGTGAAAGCTCACTAATGATTGAGAAAGATTACAAGTCATCTAGATAGGCCATCAAACTTCCTTATGTGACTTCAAAGGATCATAACTTGGTCAATTTTTATCATTTTGAGCTCATTCTTTTTTCACAATGATCTTAAGGATGTTAAGTTTAAATCTCTTTTTGGTTCTAAGCTTGTAAGTGATTGCAAGAGGCTCTTTGAGTTCAAAAGATTATAGGTCGCCTCATGGATTTTCATCAAATTCAAAAGATTATAACTTGTTCAATATTTAGAATTTTTGAGTGATATAAGTTTCACAATACTCTTTAACGAGTTAACTTTAAGCTAGAATTAATGATTAAAGCTTAATTTTGAAGGAAGACCTTGTTTGAAATCAAAATGTTATAGGTCGTTTTTGAAGAAAAAACTTAGAATTTTTCTAAGTATAAAAGTCAGCACATTTTTCCTGATTTTGACCAAGCAAAACTTCTAGCTCGAGCATCCAAATGATCTCTTTATTGGCACATTATAAGGAATTTTACCTTATATTTCTAATGCATCAAGAATCAGGTCCTAAGGTTCCCTAAATCGTACACACCATGAGTTCAAAGTCAGCTACTTGAAATTGAATTTTTCTTCCAAGTCAGAATTTGAAATCCATAATCCAGCTTCTAAACACCAAATTAGCACGCGTTTTTGATTTAAGTATGTTTAACAAAGTTCCCAAAGTTGAATTAAGGATCAAAATGCAGGAATTGGCTGAGTTTTGATGCACATTGAGTCACACATTTTTCATTTTTTGGGCTCCATCCAATTTCCCTCCAAACTTCAATTTTCTTCCCAATTATTTGCATCATTCACTTCCTTATAAATAAAGGACCTCACTCCTCTCATTTAGTCAAGCTTTGACAGCCAAAATCACTCTGCCAAACTCTCTTCATAATTCACTTTTCTGAGTTTTCGAATTCATCTTTTCTCTACTTTTCAATCCAATTTCTTTGCTGATTCTTTATCCTTGAACTTCACTGAAGCTAACAGAAGAAGAACCAAGCCTTTAAGTGTCCTAAATCGTGCTAGCCAAGTCCAGTTTCATAGCAATTTTTTGCAACATCGTTCATGTAGAATTCTCAACCAAATTGTAACTAATAAATCCCTATTCTACGTTATTCATCCTTCTTATTCTCATACTTCTTACGGTTTTCATTTTCATTGAGAATTGAGAGAGATACTTGGAAATTTAGTGCTCGCTATTTTTTCTGGTTTTTTCCAAATCCATCCTTGCTCAGCTTATATAAATTTGGCGCGAGGGTACCATTAGAATCGTATTAAAGAGATGAATCTAATGGTACTGGTCTGATACTCTAATTTTACAGTTTGTAAAACTCCAATTTATGGCGTCTGGAGGTAGAAGACGACCTACGTGTCGTGCTTCATCCAATGATAGCGTGACATGTGTTTTTTTTAAAATCTTATCTAGTGCACTTGTCTTACCATATGCGTGTCTTAAAGACCCTTGAATCTGATTACTTTCATTAGTTAGATTCCATCCGACGCGCCAGATTTTAAGTTACTTTAAATTATTTAAAAATGGTTTGGTGTGATTTTCAAAAAAGACCATGATATGCACAGCGCGTCAGATCCATTTGATTTGTTTACTAACGCGTTTTGACTCTCATCCAATGGTTCATATTATTTTTAGTTCTATTTTTATTTTCTGATTTTTATATTTATTTGTTTTGAACTTCAAAAAATCATAGAAAATTCATTTCTGACCCAAAAATAATGAAAAAATTCAGAAAAATATTTTTAAATATTCTCTTTCTAATTTTTATTTTTCCATGATTTTCATATTTAATATTTTTTATGATTTCTCTTTTGTTTTGACTTGTTTTTTTTTATTGTTTAAAATACTTTTTGATACTTTTAAATTCTCAAAAAATTCATAAAGATCATTTTTTTATTTCTGACTTTCTGGAAAAAAATAGAATTTTATTTTGATTTTTATTATTTCTTATCCTTTTTTTACTTGCTTAAGTGATTTTAAATAATTCTAAAATATACTTTTCTAATTTAAAAAATTACCAAAATTTTTGTTTAAATACTTGAGATCATTTGTGACCTTTCTATGTTTTCTTTTAATTTTTATTTGATACTTTGAATGTAGTTTGTTATTTTTACCTTTTATTTTCACCTTTTATTTTCACTTAATAATAATGATTTAAAAATCATTATTACACTTTATCTTGCCTATTAAACGCAATTTTATTTTGAACTTATTCTGGCTGATTTTAAACTATGTGACTTTTAATCATAAGCTTCATTAACATCATTGGATCTTATGTGTTGAGTTTAACTCCACCAAAATGGATGAATGATTTTAAT